GCTGCTGAATGGCAGAGTGAGGCTAAAAACCCAGGCGGCTGGCTCCAGCGCCCTGCCAGCATGCCGTCCACCCTGCAGAGAGTCCCTGCACAGCACTGCCCTGCTCCCTGCCTCCAAATCCCAGGGGCAGGGACAGAGCTGCCCCAGGACAGGGAAGGAGCACTCTGAGCAGCCCGACTCCGGGAGGGCAGCCGACAGCACGGCCGACACCCAGATGCTTACCTCCCCAGCTCTCTCCTGCCCCAGCTGAACCCTCAAACCTGTAGCTAGGGCTTCTCACATAATAAAGAATAACATTATCACGTAATTGAATCACAAAGCATTTCACCCACAGAGCATGAGTGAATCCTGCAAAGCCCTATGAGGTAGTGGGTGTCACGCTCCCCAGAGGCTGAGGGATGGAAGAACACCAGCCACGTGACATGCATGTCTCAGGCCCTCTCCACTGCATCCACTCACTTACTCCTCACCGTCAGCCTGCAGAGCTGTCACCGTCCCCTTTTACAGATCGAAAACTGGGACTTGGAGAGGATGGAGGACAGCACTGGGGCCCTACCACCGGTCACTGAGAGCCCGCAGTAAGCCCAGGGCACTGGGAACTGGAGATGTGAGTCCCACCAGGAAGCAAGTCCCCCTGCACAGTGTGGGTCTCCACTGCAGGAGACCACCGAGTCCTGCTCAGAGCGCCCAGGCCCACCCAGCCCTGGGAGTAGACATGGCTTCAGTCTGGCCCGCTGACCCCTCTCTCTATAGCCACCCTTTGATCATTATTTGATATTCCAAACAGGATCCCAGACGATCAGCCTGGGGTTGCCCTGGGCAGTCTTCCTTGGGCATCACCACCCAGCCCTGCTGAATGGGGCCTCCAGACTCAGGGGGCTGAGCTGGAAGAAGGCATGGGACCCCCAGGCCTCTGCAGCAGACAGATAGTGAGAGCAGTGGACACGCTGGCCAGGAGGCAGGGGACATACGGAAGAAGGTGGGAGAGTGGGGCCCTAGTGGTCTGACAAGCAGCAGAAGGTTTGGGGGCAAAATGGAAGCCAACAGGCCAGCCCAGGGCCCTTCCCCACCTCTCCATCCTGGGCCTCACCCCTCTCTGCACCCTGCACCCATATAGGGGATCTATGGCAAGCCTAGAACACAACTGCCCGGGGTGGAAAGGAGAAGCAGTGTCCACACATACTCTCTCATCATACTCTCCTGAACATTCTAGTGAAAGTCAGGGTCCTTACTTGGATAAAAATACAATGCATAATGGCCATGGTTGGGTCCCTCTGAGTCTTGAGTACCACAAAGAGACAAGCTTCCAAGCCTCCCCCCAGCACCCCCGCAAACCTCACTTGATGTTTTAATTGTTCCAGGGCAGTGAATTACTAGCACCTCTTCCCCATCCAGCCCACCAGCCCCGCAGCCCCTCTGGCTCAAGCGATGCCCTCAGCAGGTCTGGGGCCTGCTTGCACAGCCTCTTCCCAGAAGTCCCCGCAGCAAACCAATGACAATTTCTTCCCACTTGGGGTACAGGCCTGGACCCAGCGTTATGGATTATATGATCGTAAAGTTGCCAGGCGTTGTGGGCTGCCGTAGAAACTGCCCAGAACACAGAAGACGAATGCACAGCTGCAGTCTATAAAAATGTCACAGCCTCAGAAGAAGCTGCCGGTTTGGGCTCTGATGATACTGAGCGACGCTCACATTGATTAGAGAGAGTATCTGCCACAGTTATTTTGAGTCCATCCAGGTTCTCCCCAGGGCCTCTTCCTAGAGTGGTCTTTTCCCCCTCAAACGGCTCTCTCGCAGCCATGTGTTGAACAGGCAGGCTCCTTCTGCTTTCTACGTGCTTTCCCAACCTGAGAAGTTTGGCGCAGCAAAGACCAGACTTCACCCTAAGATAACGCACCTCTGCATGCCAACCCTGAAGGCCCCAGAGGAAAAATCCAGACAGAGAAAGGCCTTTCTGACTCCTCCCAGACTCTTCCCAACCGTCCCAGCCTCGGGTCCCATCGCATCCCACTGGACACAGCACGTGTGGGCCCCAGGGCGGCGCTGGCCCATTCGCCCAGCAGGCCAGGCGCACGCACACCTGCAGGCCTTTTGCTCAGGCACTTCCTCTTTCTGGCTGCTGTCTTCTCCGCTTGACAAAATACAACCCAACCACTGCTGGTTCCCAAAGTACCCTGATAAAATGGCCTATCCTCTGAGAAGTCCCTTCACCCAGAAAAGGGCTTCTCACCCCAATGTTCCCACCAACAGCCCCATCATGCTGCGTGCCTGGCCCTCTCCCAAAAGCTTACAGTCGGGTGTCCCCTGCCCCGTCCTCTGGACTACCCATCCCCGAGGGCAGGGAGTTGCTCACTCCAGGCTGGAGCTTCAGCACCCGGGGCAGTTCCTGGCTCTGTAAGCATTTGCTGAATTACATTACAAGGCTCGCCCTGACCAGTTTGGCTCAGTGGATAGAGCATCGGCCTGGGGACTGAAGGGTCCTGGGTTCGATTCCAGTCAAGGGCATGTACCTTGGTTGCGGGCATATCCCCAGTGGTGGTGTGTGCAGGAGGCAGCTGATCGATGTTTCTCTCTCATCAATGTTTCTGGCTCTCTATCCCTCTCCCTTCCTCTCTGTAGAAAATCAATAAAATATACTTTTAAAAAAAATAAATAAATTACAAGGCTCTTCCGATCCTATCTTAACAACAGCTCTCACTGAGCAAACATCATAATGGACCAGGCACTTCCCACACATTACCTTCAGTCCTCACATGAACCAGAGACCTTATGTATCAGCAGCTCCATTTTCCTGATGGAAAGCAATTCAAGCTCAGAGACGTTAAGTCACTTGCTCAAGGTCACACAGCAAATAGCTGACTGAGCTGGGGGTCCAACCTCGGCAGTTGGAGCCCTCTTTCCTCTGCACTAGGAAACTTAACATCTCTTTTCATCACAGAAGAGCGCAAACGTTCACAAAAGTCAAAACAGACACACGCCTCAAAACTAAAGATGAAGAGAGAGCAAGGAATGAGATGACTTCAAGATCAGACCCAAAAGCAAAGGAGAGGGGCGAAGGTGTCTCCGACCTAGGCTGCTACCAGGATAGCAGCTGCAGGAGAAATGCCCCATGGACACGGCCGAGGAACAGAGTAGGTCCAGAGGGAACATGTGTGGAGGGTGACCCTGCAGCTTCAGGAGTCCTCTGGACAGGTTTCTGACCTCGGTCCCTCCCCAGGGCCACACACGATAAGGCACAGTTGCCCCCAAGCAAACTCGGTTTGGTCCAACCCCTCCCCACAGCAGCATCTTTCCCCAGACCCACACCCATGCCCTCACCCACACCCGGATGCCATCGAGGTTGCATCTACACTGCAAATTCTCAAACCTCCGCGGGAATTTTTCAGACTCAGCCAAGAAGAGCCTGGGCAAAGTGTGCTCACTAACTGCTGACCTTGGTACAGACCTGGATCCTGGAGACAGCCCATAAGGAATGTGCTCGAACGTTATCAAAATAGCCCTGACTGGTTTGGCTTAGCCTCAGTGGATAGAGCATCGGCCTGTGGACTGAAAGGTCCCAGGTTTGATTCCGGTCAAGGGCATGGACCTTGGTTGAGGGCACATCTCCAGTGGGGGGGGTGCAGGAGGCAGCTGATCGATGTTTCTCTCTCATCGATGTTTCTGACTCTCTATCCCTCTCCCTTCCTCTCTGTGAAAAGTCAATAAAATATTTTTTTAAAGTTATCAAAATAGATATGCGTTTCCGGAGAGCCGCGGCAGGTGCCCGGCAGCATGGAAAGAAGGAGGAGGCAGGCTTCAAAGCAGCTGGCATGGTCTCCAAAGTCCAGCTCAAAAACCTCCCCAGGCCGTCCTCTCTGTGAGCAGCACAAAGGCCCTGCATGTGACCAAAACCTACACACACAGCCACACATAGGGACTCCCGCCCTGAGGTGACACCACTACACCAGGAATTCACACTGACGCATATTCTGCAAGGAATCTGGGGAAACAAATTATATAGGTCTGTAAACACACACACATGCTAACCATCCACATGCACACACACGCCCTCCCAGTCTCATCGGGTCTAGAAAGGGCTGTTTCCTCCAGAACTCAGAAGTGAGAGATGCGGAGAGAAACTGTGGTTTTGTGACCTGTCATGGTCAATGCCTTTAATCTCTTGTCTCCCACTCCAAGCCCCTGACCTCTCAGCTTTATTCACGGAATTCTTGGTCCAGGTCGCACCTATCCCTCTCTCCCTCTCTGGGTGCTGAATGTAACAAACCCTAAGCCCCAAACCCAAATCCCTCAGGTCCCATTGTCTGCCAGGGTTGGGGATGGCTGGTTATGGGAGCAGGGGCGGGGAGGGGGGGGGGTGCGGACACCTACAAGGGAAGAATTCTTACGGTTCTGGGGCAAACAATGGGGAGGAAGGGAAAGACAAACTTCCACTCCATCCCGTCATGCCCCCCAGCACCAGCCTGCAAGCCCTCAGAGCCCACATCCACACACCCCACTCCCACGTGCCCAAAAGGAGACATGGTTCCTGGCAAGCGCGAGGAGCTTCCCTCCTGGGTGCCAGGAAGGCTTTCTGGCACCAATCCGCAGGCACCGGAGGAATAGAGTGCTGGTGCAGTGGGAGGGCCTGCCAGTGCTGAGCGCAGGGTGCAGGTGTGAGGATGGGAGCTGACAGCCCCGCCGGGAGAGAGCCCTTTGAATCCCGAGAAAGGAAAACAGTGGCGCTCCTGGCTCCTGGCTCCTGGCTCCTGGCTCCAGGCTCCTGGTTCCTGGTTCCTGGCTCCTGGCTCCAGGCTCCTGGCTCCTGCCTCCAGGCTCCTGGCTCCTGCCTGGCTCCTGGCTCCTGGCTCCTGGCTCCTGGCTGGAGCAGGACCCTGGCAGGCACTGACTCGTCTACTGGCTGCGAAGCCCAGCCCCGGCGGTCCTACCCCCAGTTCTGAAGTGCGTCTGAGAGGGAAGGCCACCTCGGTGCTCCCTGCGGGCGAGGGCGGGGCGATACTCACAGGCGCTCGGTGTTCCGTGGGATGTTCTTGGGGATGGCCTGCAGCCCCGTGCCGTGACAATCCACGCGTGCAGGTGCAGAGGGCGCACGCCCTGGCACCAGACGCCACGCGACTGCCCACAGCAGCAGCCAGAGCTCCGGACGGACGAGCCTGCCGAGGACCCGCTCCGGGGCGTCAGCGCCATAGTGCCCTCACCGCGTCCCTCTGGCGTGCCAGACGGCGGCAGCCGCTGACCATCCCCGTTCGGGGCGGCTTCCAGGTGCAGTCCCGGGGCAAAGCCGCCCAAGAGACCGCTGGCTGGTGCGCGGCGGCCTCGCGGGCTAGGAGGCACCTGGCCCTACCAGCTACGGCACCGGTCGCGGATGGAGGCAGGGCGCCCGAGGAGGAGGGCGCTCGGCTCCTCTCCGGTCTCTCTCCGGCTGCGTCTCCTCCCCTCCCGCCCGCTCCCCACAGACTGCCGAGAGGAGGAAAATGGGCTGGCCGCGCGCTCACGCACCCGCGCGCACAGGCGCACAGCCACACACTCACTCCCGCACGCTCGCTCCCACCCGGCAGTCATCCGTCAATCGAAAAGCTCACATCCAACACCGGACTCCGCCCCGCCCTCCCCCCACACCCCTCCCCGCCCTCTCCCCCACACCCCTCCCCGCCCCAGCCTCCTAAAGACCGCTCCGCGCCTGCTGCCAGCAGCGTCCGGTTTCAAAGGTGGAACCTACAAGGCGCCGCGAGCGAGCGGGCAGGGGGCTGCGGGGGAGGGGGTGTCTCACGGTGCGACCCGCCGTCTGACCCTCGCCGGCTGCACGCACACATACACACCACACACACACACACACACACACACACACACACACACACACAGAGGATGAGCACCCTTAGACGCGAGCATCCGACACCCGAAGCCCCCGCTGCTGATCCAGAGCGGGGAGAGGATTTTATTTTGCCGCCTGGACCCTTTCCCCTGCGCCACAGACAAGCTTTCCTCAACGGCAGAAACTGCTCCCAGCCCCTGAAACTTGCTTCCTCAATTCACCGTGAAAGGAAGCCCCAGGTGGCCATATCCAAGCACCTACCTTACTTAGCGAGAGACCTTGAGGGCAGAGTCTGGGGGGAGGGAGGGGCCCTAGGCCAAAGACAATCTCCTCCCCTCCATCAATACATTCACAGTCTCCTCCAAGATGGCAGCAGCCCACTTTCCGAGGGGAGCACGCAGCCAGCTGCACCCAGAGTGAGAATGGCCTTGATTTGGACATCGCACAGCATGGGGACGGTATTTCTGCCCATTGGACTGTGGCGGCTTCCCAGGTGGTAGGGAGCAGCGCAGGGTACCAGTGGGGATTGGAAATTGAGCATAGCATCTATCTTCCTCCATCACACCAGCGTTCCTCTATTTCCAATAAACAAAAACGAATATTCAATCCCGTCTTCAAAGGACTGCAGGGAGGGCTGGAAAGGAGCTGGGTGACCTGCTTGGGTGACAATCACCACAGGCCACCCAGGTCAGACCCTAGGCCTTCCAGTCCTCTGGGCAGGGACTTTTCTCAGTCTCAGGCAGGTGTGAACATGGGTGTGAACCGAACATCCAGGTGGGGAGAGAATTCTCCTCAGGCCAGAAAAGAAAAGGACCTCCCCGGTTTGCTGACACTCCATCGCACCCAGACATCGCTTGTCCACCAGCCGGCACCCTGACTCCCGGCTGCCGGCAGCCTGGCAAGAAGAAGCAGTTGAGCAGCTCAAGAAGCACCTCCCCTCACGGGAGTTGGCTGCCTGGGGTTTCTTCTTGGGAGAAACCAGAAAGGAAGGTGGCTAATCCAAGAGGTGCCAGGTAAGCACGGCCTCCTGAGGTGGACGGTGTGGTACTGGTGGGCTCCACAAAATTAAAGCCTCATCACCCACCAGGTACAGACTCAGGGTTTCTCTTTGTTTTTCTTTTCCATCTTTATGAAAAGTTTGCAGTATCTCTGCTGTCGCAGCGCACACTGGGTGGCCAGTATGTCACAACGAATGTGGCTGACTCGATGGGCTCTTGACAGTTCTTTTGAAAGTTTTCACACACTCCTGACCATGACCTCCATCCAGGGCCATAGGTCCTTGAGCATCAATTCAATGACAACTCAGGGTGAAGGGACTTTCTCAGGGGCCTTCATGTGGTGTGATCTTAGAGAACCTTCCCGCAAATCAGGCCAGAGCTCCACGGCCTGCTACGGCCTTCTCTCCCCTCTCCCTTGCAAATGCCTGCTCAGAGCACTCAGCCCCTCTTCCCAGAGCCTCCCCAGCTGCCTAGGGCAGGTTAAATCCTCACTCCTTTGAGCCTGCTGCTTTGTTTATTCCCTCTTAGCGGGACTCTGTTTACACATGTGGCTCCTTCCCTGACACCCCTTCTGGGGGCCGTGCCTGCCCCCAACACATGGCTTCCTCGCTTCCTCACTTTGGCACTTAACCCAACACCTGGCACTTAGTAGGCCTGTCACAGACGGAACGCAGACTGGTGAAGACATCTGGTCTCCAACCTTCTGCCCCAGCGGTGGGTGCCGCCTTGGCCCCATGACCTCAGAAGGCTCCTTGAAGCCAGGACTCGTGGGGAAGAGGGAAAGTGTTGATTAACCTGGCAGGATGCCCTCGGAGGGCTGCAGAGAGGCAGGGTGACGGGGTGGGAGGGAGGCTGGGAGTGGGCAGAGGGCTGCATGATCAGCCCTGCCTTTGGCTCCTGAGAGACTAGAAGCAATCTCTAGAAGGTGCCCTGGAAGCTTCCAGACTAACCTGGCCAGTGACTCCCAAGCCAGCCTTAAACCATGATGTCATGGCCTAGCAAGGCCTGGCCTTTGCTTTAAAATGGGGAAGGAAGAAGGGTTTCTGAAACCTCGGACAAAGACTCCCCCACCAGCCAGTCAGGGGACGCCCTGCCCAGCAGCCGGGCAGCTCCCCAACTTGGCTCCCATCCCCAGTTCCTCCACCCCAGAGTCTGGCTAGCTCCCCAATTTGGGAGGCAGCTCGCCATGAATGAACACAGCTCATTAGCGTTCCCAGCACATTATACTCATTAAACAACCGCCTGGCCAGCCGCATATTCTACGCCCCCCCTCCCCTCCTTTGCTTTTTCAGTTTCCTCTCCCAAGCCCCTCCCTCTGCTGGGTCTCCCCACCCCCTCCCTACAGCCAGGCCACCTGCTCCCTCTGCACAGTGGAGAGGAGGCAGGCCTGTCCCGTTGCTTCTGCCAGGAGTGCTCCGCCAAGCCCCACTCTGCCCACTGGCCACAGCCGGCAGCCCCCCAGAGGGAGACTTGGGGCTGGGGCTCCCCATCTGGTGTATGAGCCTCCTCTGAGTCCCCTCAGCCATGTGTGCTTGGGAGCAGCGGGCCACCTCCTGCCTGTGACTCAGGGAAACTGCCCTCCTGCCAGCTTTCTGCTCAGGGTCCTCGCCTCCATCTCCACCCACCCTTTCTGCAGCACCACGAGGCGGCAGAGCCTGGGTGAGGCGGCAGAGCACTGTGGTTTTGATTTCCAAACTGCGAAATGCAAGAATGAGATAAAAGCCTGCTATCCGAGCACTTATTAAACACCATTTATTGAGTGAATGTACTATGCACACCATACAGGGACTCAGCAACTCAGCAGAGTATAAAAATGGACCTGGCCCACAGTGAGCTCATGATCCAGCGGGGGAACAGAAAAAGGAAAGTCACTCAACACAATTAGTTTAGTAACAGGAGGTGAATTTGCAGAGAACCCAGAATGTGGGGCTCAGGGTAAGGCTGGAACGCTCCCTGGAAGAGGAAGCACTTGAGCTGAGCCTTGAAGGATAAGCAGACATTAACTGGATAGCAAAGCAGGAAGGGCTTTCTGGGCAAAGAGAACCACATGAGGTAAGGCACATAGACAGCAGCAACATCCTCTGTGGCTGAGCTGTGGCAGGTCAGCAAGGCAGGGGTTCAGGTGGGCAGCATGGGTAGAGGTCAGAGAGGTGACGGGGCACATTCCAGAGGGCCTGGTGTAGCCGTTCTCTGGATTTATTGGACTTGCAGAATCCCCTGGGTTGTCCCTGAATTCAAGTACGTGCTTACATATGTGTGTGTGTATTTACAATGCACTATCCCCAGAACCAATAGCAGTGGTGGCTTCCAAGGAGAGACTGGATGGTGGCAGGGGGACAGTTTCAGCATATGCCTTTTTCCCTACTGTTTGGATTTCTTTGCTTGTATTGTATGAACTAACTCCCCATAATCACCAATACATTTTTAAACATCCCCTGGAGTGCTCGTTATAAGTGCCAATTCCTAGGACACACCCAACACCTTTTTCATCAGAATCTTCATGGTTAGCAAGTTTCAGAGACCATGCTCCAAGAACCAAGGCCTGGTGTACTGAGTTAATGAGTTTGAACTTGAACCTGAAAACTCTGGGGAGCCATTGAAGGAAGGGGCCTGGCAAGGACAAAGGGTCTGAAGCTTGCCTGCCTCCCTTCTCTCCAGTTTCCACATACTGTGAGCAAGCATGAGTCACATCACAGAGAAAGATAGCTGGGGGCAGAGGGAGAAGGAGAGGGGACAGAGCCATGTGACGCTGGTGCATAGTAGCTTCGATCACAAGATGCCAGAGCCGGGAGGGGATGAAGAAATGACCAAATCAAATACCACTGCACAGCTGGTGGCCCACAGAAGTGAAGCCACCAGCCCATGTGGCAAAGGAGTTGCCAAGGGGAGCCATGAATGAGTCTAAATCTTGCTCCCCTAGGCCACACACCTGAGTAAAAGACAGCATCCAATCCACCGGGCACCTACCCCATAAGGACTGAGACACAAGGAATCACTGGGAGGTGGTGCCAGCAAAACTCCGAATCTTTTAGTTTTAATCTCTAAATCCCATGATGGACTCAAATTTGAAGAAGGATGGACCACTTGAGGCTCTCAATGACAAAGTTCTTAGACTTAAGATCAGGTGGCTTTTATAAAGGCCACCATATGCCTCTGGGACAACTCTAGCAGATGAGAAGTGCTAGGAGCAAGAGAGAAGCAAAGAGGAGAGAGGAAGAAAGGAGAGGAGATGAAAGGGAGAAAGCAGGCCACGGAGTCTGCCGGCAGCAGTTTGCTCATTCATTTATCAACCATTGATTGCATGCCAGCTGTGAGCCAGCTGAATGCTTCTCCAGAGATAAGCCTGTCAATCCCCCACTTTACAGACGAGGAAATGGAGCCCCTAGAGGACAAGTATCTGACCCGGGGTCACAGCGCTGACTGGCTGTCTCACAGCGTCTGTGCGGTTCGTGTTTGCAGTCTAACACCTCGCCCAGTGTCGGGAGCCAAGTAGGTGCTCAATAAATGTGCGTGAAGCCAAAATGAACTGGGATGAGAGCAGAAAACCCAGGTCCCAATCTTGGAGGAAAAACAGAATTTAGAGTCCAGGAATAATAACAGTTGTTCAGCGCCAGAGCAGCTG